TCTTGCTCCCCGAGCTACACACTCTCTGCTTGTGACCTCCCTGTCAGGTCTGAGTCAGAATCCAGCCCCTGCCTATTTCCCAGCCTCAGACAAGACCTGCAGCCAGGGCCTTGCGGTACATTTCCTGGGCTGCATTCCTGAACCGCTCACACCCACAGAGGAAGGTGTTATCCTGGGCAGCTCACCCAGAGAGAGAAACCCCTGTGCCTAAGCACCATCTCCAGCCCAGGGGGAAAAAGCAGAGAATCCTGGCCTTTAGTCATTGACCTGGGCTTACTGACAGAATCCTAGAGTGGCTGGCCAAGCCATTTATGGGACAGCCTAGCCACATGGTGCTGGGAATCCCAAATGTAAACTGGCCACCACGGCGTTTGGGCTGTGGGTGGTTCGTTTTCTTGGGAGGCCGTCTGGGGGAGAAGGTGAGAAGCTACTTGGGGAATCGGAGAATCCGGGGATTGAGCTCAGAGCTGGCTTTCAGGGGGTGACTCTTCTCTCCATGTCTCGGTTTCCTCCTCTGTGACAAGGGAGCCCTCCCTGACTCTTGCCCTACCTGCCTCTGGGGGGACAGCATGGAGGAGCAGTTGCAAACAGGGATGCAGATCCCAGGCCACCTGCCAGCCAAGTGACTCACCTCTTTGCATCTTAGTTTCCTCTAAGATGTAAAAACGGAGCTAGAGAGGATAGCTGCCTTATTAGGGTTGCTGGGAAGAGTGAGTGAGATAACACACATTGTGTTAACTCCATGCCAGGCACATAATAAAGGGTAAAAGGCGCTTGGCTATAAAAAGACAAAGCAGTGGTCAGCCCAGCCAGGCTGTGGGGGAGGAAGGACCTCCCCGTACCTTCACTTGTTGAAAAGTTCTCCGTGCTTGGATTGGGGGTTAGAATCTTGCATCATCTACTTATTGACTGGTAGTGAGTCCCGGGGCAAATTCGTTTCGTTTAAACATTCTGAAGCTTCTATTTGCTCATCTGCAAGATGGGTAGCTAATAATGATAGCCTCATGAGGCTAGGTGGAGTCAGTGAGCTGGCATCGGGTGCGAGGAAGGCCCTCAGGAAGTGTGAGAGAGAGAGAGAGAGAGAGAGAGAGTGTGTGTGAGAGAGAGAGAGAGAGTGTGTGTGTGTGTGTGTGTGTGTGTGTGTGCAGCCCCTGTCCTTCCAGGTCAGACCTAGGGACCCCTGGGAAAGTGGCCAGAGCTAGCGATCTCCACCCTTCCCTTCCCACCTACAGGCCCGTTATCAGGGAGGATGCTTGTGACCAGAGGAGACCCTGAGGCAGGCTCTGAGCAGGCAGCTCACAGAGAGGCAGGAGGAAGGGCAGGAGGAGGGAACAGCGCACTGCGTGTCTCCTCTGCACCAGGGCCTCTGTGAGCTGGCGTGCGGACAGCGTCATTGCCTGGGCTCCTCACCGGGGCCCTGGGAGGGCTGTATGAAGACCCTCATCTTACAGATGGGGAGATGGAAGGCCACAGTGCCCCAAGGACTTGAGAGAAGCCAGGCGGTGCCTGTGTGGAGCCCACCCCTGAACCCAGGCTCGTCTGCCTCACAAATTCCCCTCAAAGGCTCAGGAAATGCAGTCGCACTGACAAGCTCCCGATCTGCCTCCTGAGAGCAAACCTTCTAGAGTTCGCTGTATTCTGATTGGGGTTCCTCCCCTTGGTATCCAGACATGTTTCTCTGGGAAAATGCTAAAGCTGCCTGGGCTGGCCGGGGCTGGGAAGACAGTGGTTACACCAAGCCCATGGGGCCCGAGGGGCCCGAGAGGCTAACTGCTGGCACAGCCCTGCCAGGTGATGAGTTTGGGCAAGCTGATGGGACTCAGGATGGCGGGAGCGGAACATGCAAGTCAGGGTCTGCGGAGAAAGTCTACTTTTCTAGGGCCTTTCTGGCAAGGGCTATACCTTCTGCCTTCTTCAGACTGAGAAGGATTTCCAGTCAGATGGAAACATAGAAACTGCTAACGTCAACTCTTGATGTACAGATATGAAAGCTGAAGCCCAGAGAAGGGAAGTAACTTGGACAAGGTCACACAGCAAGTGAATGCAGGAGCAGAGGCTCCCTGCCTTGTTTTCTGCCTGAATATTTGTACAGTCATTTGTTACCCCACTCAGACCCGTTGTGGTGCATAGAGACTCACTCCTACAGCAGACACGGTCCCTGCCCAGACTGAGCTGGCACTCAAGTGCAGAAGCTCAGTGCTAGAAGGGCCTACAGAGTGGGTGCTATGCTGTGGGTGGACGTTTTGCTGCCGTCTGTGGTCAGGCTGCTGAGGGGGCTGAGTTCTTGAGATAAGACCTGAGGAATGAGCTGCCGGCCAGGGAGAGAGCAGCGAGGGTCAGGGTGGGATGTTAATGGCTAACAGCTTCCAAGTAGGAAACTGCTTGGAGTATTTGAGGAACCAATAAACAAACAAATCAGCCACAGAGCAGAGAATCAGGGAGCCAGGGGAGGCCCGAGAAGTGGAAGAGATCAGATCAGGTTAGGCCTTGAACTCTTGGTAAGGACTTCGGGTCTTATTCTGAGAGGAAACCTGCAGAGGCTTTGCCTGTGCAAGGTGCAGCAGGGAGTGCGAGAGAAGTCAGACGTGAGACCGTTTCTAATGGGTCACGGAGCCCAATGGGGAAGAGTTACAGACAGAATTGTGTGCAGGGCATGGGAGGTAACTGGATCGTTCTGATACTTAGCTGTGGGCAAGGGCAGGAGAAGGGGACAGATAAAGGGATGGGTGATCTGAGGACAAAGCAGCCGCCCCAGGCTGGAAGCTGGGAGAGCGGGAATGATAGGCAGGAAAGGTGTCATGGATGGTGAAATATGAGCTAGTAGGAAATTTGATTCAGCACATACGTATTCAGCGTCGAGCATCTCCTGAGGGTTGGGCCGTGTGCTGAGGCTTTTAGATGTTTATTCTTGTTTGATCTCTACGACCATCTGAAATACAGTACTTTTTTAAATCACCCTTTTTTAAATGTAGAAACTAAGGGTCATGGCAGTAAAAGGACTTTCTCAAAGATGTTCACTGGGCCTGAGGCAGAAAGATGCCGGGCCAAGCCTCCCGGTCCCCGTGGGGATACTCTCCCCACTCAACCTCACTTGTTAGGTTTGGTCTTGGCTCTGCCCTCAGTTTCCCCACTTGGCCTGGAGGGTTTACTCCAGGTCTCTTCCAGTTCTAACATTCTCTGCTGCTCTTGGAGGTGAAGAGGTTGTGGAAGAATATTCTAGATTGCTAGGCCCAGTGACTGGGAAGAAAATGTCCTCCACAGGGAACAGCAAGTAGCGTTAGGAGAGAGACAGGCACTGCCCAGAAGCAGCTGTGCGAATGCCGAGAACGGCGTCAAGAGCCTATGGATTAAACTGGGAAGAGAAGGAAGCTACTGGGAGGGCAGCGAGTCAGGGAGAGATGGAGGCAGGAACAGTCACTCCCTCATCTCACGGCTCGGTGTCCGGGGAAACACGAATGACAGCCCAGCCCTTCCCTGCCTCATGAGGGAGAAAGAGACGGGTACCTGGAGTTGAGCCCTGAGCACGGTCAACACTGTGTGCTCCTTAATCCTCCTATCCCTCAGCACACCCTCAGGAGGTGCATGCTTGTATTATTCCCATTTGATGAATGAGTTAACAGAGGCTCAGAGAAATCGGCACATGCTCAAGGTCACCCCTCAAGAAGGTGACGGAGCTGGGATTTATACTTCCAGCTTCCCATTCGTTCCTACGTTTTAAATCATTCCAGTACTGCAGGATGGAGAGTGGATCGGAGGGAGGGAGGGAAAGAGAGAGCATGGGCAGGCAGGCAAAGAGGCAGAGAGAAAGAGAGAGTCCACAAGCTGGGAAGACAGAGATGTTCTCTGAGACTGTGTGAGCACTGGGAGACCCTGCCCAGGCAGGAGGCAAATGAGGTCATTAGATCCATCTGTGCAGATGGGGGACCCTCTGGGGAAAGTCATATGCAAATGTCATGATGCAATGAGGTGAAATCCACTTGCTTTAGCCCAGGCTGGGGCGCAAGCAGGAACTGCCCTGTGCGCTTTTGAAAGACAGACAGACCTTCGGCTGCACAGGGAAGACTTTCGCTTCGCTGGTTTCTTTCTCTCAGTTTCTAGAAAGGAAAGCCAGCCCAAGGTCACAGAGCATGTGAAGGGATCGACTGGGAACTGAAACTTATGCCTTTTTCTTTTTTAAAAAATGTGTTCTTTCATTTTTTCCAGCTTTCCTAAAATACACGTGTATCAAATCATCACGTTGTGTACCTCTCACTCTTTCTTATGCTAAAATCTGCTCCTGAGATCCTTCAACCAAATGTATGCAGATTCCCTATGTGAAATGTTCCCTACAGGATTTCAGGCCCCCTGGAAGGTGATCTGCACTTGCCAAGATGTGCTTCTGTTGTTTTCATCCCCAAAATCGAAACCAATATGTGCAGTGAGTTAGGTTTTCTTAAAAGACATTGTCATTTCACTTGACCATTTCAACAGTCCTATGAGTGAGACACTCCACTGTGCGAGTCTGTTAACCAACTCTGGTGCATAGTACATTCAACTGTTCAGCAGCGATTTCATCCAGCTCTTGGCATTCGCAGAGGCGAATGGGTCCCATTCCATCAGTTCTACAGCTGGGAACCTGAGGCCCAGAGAGAGGTAGCTTGTCCTACGTTACATGCCAAACTGGTCCTTTCTGGGCCTCAGTTTCCCTGTCTTTAAAAGGGGGATTGTTTTAGTATACAGCCTACAGAATTGTCAAAGGATCTGGTATCTTCCTATTTGGAAAGTGCTTAGCACATTGCCTGAGCCACAATATGTGTCCCTGCAAATTGAAGCTGCTTTGATACTGACCATGGTGATCTTGCTAAAAGTTCTCACTAGGCTAGCAGGAAGCAGAGCCATGACTAGAACTTGAATCTGCTGTCCCCCAAATCCTGTGATGTGTGCCCTCTGCCCTGCCTCTCTGAAAGCTACTGCTTCAGATGCAGCCTCCTGGCTCACCTCTCCTCTTTCTCTCTCTGCAGGTCACTCCCTTCCCTATGTCCTGTGACCTACAAGGTGACTGTGCTTGTCGGGACCCCCAGGCCCAAGAACACAGCCGGAAAGACGTCCGGGGCTACAGCCATGGCTAAGGAAGGACAAGGAGTTGTCAAAGAATTCCCAGTGCCAGGACCCGCATCCCTTTGGTATTGATTTCACAGTCAGCTGCTCAACGGAATGGCCTCTCCACACCAGGGGTCCTTAGCACCCAACCAGTCTGCCTTTAATTTCACCCAGGAAGGACTCATGATGGGGGGTGGGGGGTGCGTGAAACAAGTCTTGCCATGTTGAATGATAGAATGGAATCCCATCCCAAAGTCTTACACAGGGACTGCCTATACAGCATGCAGTCCCGGAACCTCCTTAAAGTCTAACCATTCATCCCACGACCACAGCAAGAACCACGTTTTGTCTGTAGGAGTGTGCACATTTGCGGTCGGTACACATACACACATGCACGCACACCCATGCAAAACACCCGTGCGAGGGCAGTTTGGGAGACTGAGCAGAGAGAGGCTAGAACAGACTCACTCTTCCCTTTCCCAAGATCCTAGCCAACACTGTACTTGGGAGAAAGGGAGTTGCAGAAACCGCTAAGACCAAGTGTTGAGATGCCAAGATAACTCACACTCGGAGGCTTGGAATATGGAAGGCATGAACAATTGTACCACCCTTTGGGATTGGAAATGAGATGGTTTCTCATCACCTACCTTCTAGGGAAGTAGGACCCAGGAAGAGGTAAAGAAACCAAGGTATGCAAAGCCCCCCACCAGATTCCTCTGCTTGCCATGGAGGGATTTTACCAGCTTCAGGGTTTGAGGCCAAGCTGGAGATGGCTTAAGATTGCAATGTCAAGGTATTACAACAGCCCCCTGCTTGAGGCTTGAGGCCATAATATCCCTCCAGAACTCACCCACTTCCCAAATCTTGCCTTGGGACCACACTTGCTGCTACTTTTCCTGCTGCTCTATCCTAGACATTGAGTACCCCCAAAGTGGTAGGACTAGGTTAGGAAAAACCCCACACAACCAAACAGTCTGCCTTAAAGGTGAACCATAGTTTCCCACTGCTCCTCACTTCTTGGCCCTTCTGCAAGAGAAAAACCCTCACTGGCCCACATGGTGAAAAGTGAAGTCCCCCATGGGTGGGCTGCTCATCAGAGAAGGGAGCTGAGGGCCTTGGATGCCGGACCTCCTCACTGAGAGTCCAGAAGGTCTTAGCCAGTGTTAGATTTTATAATCCCGTGGAACAGTGTTAAGTTTCTGTGGTGTTAGAGCCATCCAAAGCTGCTGGAATTGTAGGGACCAGAGCTGTTATCGTTACCCAGGCCTTCCAGGCCCTCGTGGAGAAAGCGGGCCTTGGTCCTGAGACCTCACTGCTGCCCTGAGTAGCTATAACTCTGAAAGAGAGAATCATCTTGGATATGATCAGTCTAGACTGTGTTCAAGGGGCCATCAGCGGGAAGCTGAAGGGTTCCCAGCCTCAGGCCCCAGTGACCGACAGGGCCATCACGTTTTCCACACAGTTTACCAGCTACCAGTAGCCCCTCCACACCTGTGGCTAGGCGGCCCTTCCCTCTCCCCCAGGTTCAGGATCAAAAAGTTAAGAGGAAATTAGTCAAATGCACACGGAAGCCCCCACCTCTTTGGGGTCCTCTTTTCAGACAGTTATCTGTCCACTCCTTCTGGATTAAAATGGAAAGAGATTAATACAGAATGGAAATGGAAAATGGAGAGAACGGTTAAGTTTGACAATTTCTGAGACCTGGAACTCAAGAACTGAGGCCACAGGAGGGTCTAGATGTTTAGCATAACAATTGCTGTAAATCAAGTCATCCCAAAGACAACCAAAAAAAGACAAAAGAACAGAGTCTAAAAGAAGAATAGAAAATCCCAGGCATGTGCACTGAGCCTCCTCATTCCTGCAGCCAAGGCAGGCATTGTGGATCAGGCACAGCCCTTTTTCCTAAGAGGACCAAAAATAACTTCAGAAACCTTACTCTGTCACTCCGCACAGCAGTCACCTGCTGATCAAGAACACCTGAGAAGACATCAATTAGCCATCTGTGGTCTGTTATATTAAATATATCAAGGTGCTTTTTGCACAGGGGCCCACAAATAAGGAGGCGGTGCCTAGTTTCATGTGGCTTGCATCATATTGAAAACTCTGAGATGAGGTTTCAGAATGGAGAGGCTGACACCATTGTTAAGGTCAGGCACAAACCCTTTTATGTTTCCTCCTTAAAAAAGACTCCTGTCTCATTTATATTCAGAACATATTTCTTCTGTAATCACCGGGGCCAATCTTTAGCAAAATAATAATGGAAGAATTGATAGCATTTCATACCCCTCCCCAGCATGGTAGAACTCATGCTAATTCTTAAAGCCCCTCCATTGCCCTAGGTGAATTGCCAACCTGTGCAGTTAGCTTAGAAGATACAAACTAACAAAGGTAGCAGCTTCAGCCCTTCCAGTTCGTTTAGCATACCAATTAGTAATGTAGAAAACCTGGGAGACCCAAAGATGATATTAGTAATGGTAGGGTTGCAGGAACCACAGAATTTCCCCAGCTTCCCTTAAATGGACCCTCCTCATCTATTCACCCTTCCCTCTGATCCTCACCTATCCACACACTCTCCAGCTGAGCAGCGTCCAGAAAGTCTGACTTCTATCTTCAGACCCACAGATTGAGTTGAGCAAAGATCTGCCCAGGCTCCTTCTTACCATCATTATTCAAACCTGTTACAAATTCATATTTGTTGCCAAGGATATTAGGCAAGAAAGACTGTGTGATTGATGGCTGGCCTCATGCCCACAAGCATAGCGTAATTAATTGGCCCTTCTCAACACGTTGTGAAGGAGGGTCACTTTTATTCATGCAGTGCACTGATTTCCCGTTTGTCTTTCTGGGAATAAGCCCATTCTCTTATCCCTTCAATCAGCTCCTGTTTAGGATAACAGAGTACTCACAAGGAGGCAGTTCTAAGCACTATTGTCTATCAGCAGCTCAGGGCCCCATAAGCACCTGGGGGTTCTGGGTCTGAAGAAGTATTAGCCTGTTAGCAGCAAGAAAGAGAGATGTGGTGGTGGCCAGTTCCCTGAGCCCTATCTTGGGAAACCTTTCCAAGCCACAGCCCTCATTGCATTTCCAGAGGACTTGCATTACCCCTAGATTCTGTGCCAACCACCTCCTAAGGGAAAACAGTCCTCGGGAAGTCCATTTTGGCGGCTGAATTGGGGAGCTAAGGAAGGGCAAGGCCAATGGTTGTAACTAGTAGGGCTTTAAGGGTGGAGCATCTCAGCTGCTGCTCCAGGCTTCAGCATGTTGAGTCACTGCCTAGACAGTCCCCTTGGTCTTATTCCCATCTTGACCAATGCTTAAATGCTATGTGTTGAAAAATACTTCTTTGAGACAGACTTCAGCTACCTCCCTTCCAGGTTTGATTTAACTTGGTTGTAACTGTCAATTTGTTATAGGTCTTACCTGTGTTTAAAAAAGGAGAGAGAGAGAAAGAAAAGGAAAAAAAGGAAAGAGGAAAGAAAGGAAACCATAAATTCAAGTTAACAGTTTTGAGAGAGAGAGAGAGAGAGAGAGAGAGAAAGAGATAGAGAGAGAGAGTGAGAGAGAGAGAGAGAGAGAGTGTGTGTGTCTGGAACTACAAGTGGGAAAATAAAAAGAAGAAATTGATGACAAAGCTGTACAGATAGAGATAATAGAGGACAGAGAGGTTGAAAGGAAATAAAAATGCATGATTAAATATAAGAATTTTTTAAAAAACCTATTTTTGTGCTTCCTAAAGAAACTGTTTATTCCACAGACCAAGTAGGTAGACACCGCATAAAGAGTTCCCTAGCAGGAGACAGAGAGCAGGGTTTTATGACGCTGCTGTTTTCTGTACATTGTGGTAGGTCCAGGAAATAAGGCACCTTCCCCCCTTGATATGTAGTTGCTATAGGGGGGAGCATTTTGTCTGTTTGTCTGGTGGCAGTCAGTGGTAGTAGGGAGTAGTGGGGGGTGGCTTGAAATTGGTTTTACCAAATATTAAGGGGACATATTGTGTCGTACTGTTCACATTACAAAATGTGTGTCTTTACCAGTAGAGCGCTGGGCTTTCTAAAGGCCGCACTTAGAATCACTCTGCACCGTCCACTTTCCTAAAAAGCTGCTACATGACCAGACAGGTAATTCCCATGGTTCTGGAGAAACAAAATAAAATAAGCCAAGCAAACAACAAACATAAAAACTAAATAGCAAATGAATAAAAGCCTATTCTTTTCATTTACTCAAGTTTTGCCCAGCCCCTACCAACTGTTTGATCTTCAAGTAAATGTGTACTAGCCAAGAGAATGATGTCCCTAGAGCAAGAACCTCGCATTGTTGACTGAGCAGCAGTTTGCTCATGTGATCGTGAATGAGTCACCAGATTGCCTCTCCACTTGTCTCAGAATCTCCAGCTGAAAAATGGGGGCACTACCACTTACCTACCTCACAGCGGGATGGCAGGGGTTGGTGAGGCCCTGAGGCTCTAAAGGGGCTATGGCAATCTGTGAGAGCTGAAGCGTGACGCAGAGGCCATGAGGTTACTTTTCAAGGATGCACAGGCCCACTGGCCATTCAAGAAAGACAGGGCATGCTGTTTTGATATCTCAAGGAATAAAGCTGGAATTCCTGGATTTTATAATCCACTTTAAGAGAGAGGCTTGTTATGGGGAGTATTTCATTCATAGGTGAATTGGATTTTCCCCCTTACTCTGGCCTTGACCAGTTCTATAATTCGGTTAAAAGCCAATTACTTCCTACAGTGTAGAAATCTGTCTGTTCAAGGCTTATGGGCCATTTCCAATGTTACACAGGAAGGGAGTCCCTAAAAATCTCTTCTCAGACTTAATATTCCACATCGAGTGTTCCATGAAAAGAAATACGGCATTCTGAGTGAAAACAACTCGGCGCTTCTTAAACTAACACACCAGCAGTCAGTGAGGAGAATTTTAAACAATTCTTGATTTGCTTTCTTGGGTCTCTATAATCAATAACCTGTCCGCAGATATCTATCTATATAAAGATATTATATATAAATACAAATTTACATATATATGCACATGTATATATAGTTGTACATATATGTGTGTATATATATACTTAAATGTAATATTTACAAAATAAAACTGTGATCTCGTCTAGAGAAAATGTATTCATATTACCAACTGCTCTTCCATATTTATGTATCATATACCTTTTTATTACTGTTATAATTGTTATGGGTATTTCTAATTATTATGATGTTGAAATCTGTTTGGTACCTTCTGGAAACCACCAAAAAATGACTCTCCATTGAAGTGCTTAAAATCTGTTCTCATGAGAATTCTACTGGCTTACTATTAAAAAAAAAAGAAAAAAAAAAGAAAACAGTCTAAACACCAAAAACAAAACACGATTCCAATCCTTTCTCTGTACCTCACATGCATAAATTTGCTGCTCCTATTTTGGGTTTTATTTTTTTTCCTGTTTATGTGTTTTTATGGATCTAAGTTAAATCTTCCAGCAATATATAAAAATGTAAATAGTAAACTTTATTTATTAAGAATGTCATCTTTTTTAATTTATATTTACACAGTTGTTCATCTAATTTATTTTTTCTATACGGTTTAAATTCTCAAGACATATTTTGCTGTTCATAATATTTTTATCCTGTTCTCATGGATTTGTTCTCCCATACTGTTTTCTCTGGTCTCAATTACAGGTTGGATCTCACACAAAAAAATAATGTCAAAGACAGAAATATTTTGCCACTGTTGATGACTATACCTTAAAATTCTATATTATGAAAATATATAATAGCTTGTATGCTTCAATATGTAGTGGTGTGGTTTTTTATCTGTTGTGCAAACTGAAAGGGCTCCTCCACACTAATAGAGAAGAGAACCCCAAAGCCTAGAAGTAGGAGAGCGATGGGGAGGTTGAGTCCAGTATACACCTAGTCTTCTACGTAAATCGTTCCTGAAAAGCATCTATGTTTTGCACATGCAACAGTTGAAAACCATTCTTCTTACATGTGATAAGAAAGTTCAGTTTTCAGAGAACTAAAAGAAACCACAATTCCAGTTCTAACTAGCCTTTTGGAGGCTGTCTTCAACAATACACTTGCGGCAGCATATCCCTTATTCATTTTCTTTTCTTCAAAAGTGGACACTGGTTGTCTGGCTCATCAAATGAATCTGCAGCTGAGACTGAAGTTTTGCTGTCTTCCATTTGCCTATTGGAGGTCACTTTTCATCTTATCACCACTTAGTAGCTATGTGATCTTTGGAAAGTTGTTGAGCTGCTTTAAGATTTAGTTTTCACATCTGTAAAATGGGATAATTAAACTACCCATCTCATGAGGTTGTTGATAGAATTAAATAAGATAAATGCACAATTTTAAAAACTGCATCAGCTCAGCATGTATCAGATGGTGGCACAAAAAGAGCCTAAGCCCACCTCCTCCTACATATATACATGGAATCTACACCCGCACACAGAGTGCTTCATCCCGAGGAAGAATGAGGCCTGAGCTTAAACCTGCACAACCAGGGGGAACGAGGCCACATAAAAATGGCAGGAGAGACGGAGACACAGTAATGGAGGGAGCCCTGCAGTAGGGAGGGAGCTCACTGAGTTACCAGGGCTCAGGCTCGCCTGCCTTGGGGCACAGAAAAAATGCCATGAGGTAGAGTGCTTAAACCTGTCTGCAACTATAATTGAAAGGAGCTAATTTTTCAGAAATCAAGCACCTGCCTGGCTACTTCTGGGACCAAAAGGTGCTAGTGTCTTTGTTTTCACTGCCCCCAACACTGCCACCATGAACAGGAGCAGAAGAGCACCATCCTTTATGCTCCGCTGACACTGCTAGCACAGACAGCAGGGTGAGCAATACTGTTTACCTTCCTCTGAACATTCCCAGTGAGGACAGGAGCAGGGTGAGTGCCACTGTGTATGTTTCCCTGCACACTGCTAGGAGTGTAAAAGAAACACGTTTATGTTTCCACCCCACATTGTCAGTGTGGAGGGGAACAGGGTGAACCACATCATTCATGCTGCCCTTGCACATTGTTAGTACAGACAGGTATAGGGTGAGTACCATTACACATATCCCCACACACATTGAGAATACAGACAAGAGCAGGGTCAGGGTCACTCCAGAAGTGACAGAGGTGACTTCCCAGCCCCAGAGCACACTCAAACATGCCTGTCGAAGGTCTAGCACCCCCGCCAAGAAGGTACTGCCATGGCGCATATGTGGATTGACCCTACCTGTATGGCTTCTGTCCCTGGCTAGCCCATTTGCACAGCCCCAGCCCAGAGACTGAGACCAAACAGAGACTCCCAGACTGCACCCATCCACACCTATCCACCCCATTAGTGTGGCCCTGGCTGGCAGCCACTTGGGGACCCCTGCACAATGTCCCTCAGTCCCCAGTAACTCCACCAGAGAGGCCCCTCCCGCTGCCAGCCTGGGAGCTCCCTTTACTGTGCCCCCTTTGACACTGGCTTTAACACCCAACTGACAGCAACAGATAGATCATCCAGATAGAGAATCAATAAGGGAACAGTGGCTTTGAAGGACACATTAGAACAAGTGAACCTAACAGATATACATAAAACATTTCATCCAAATATAGCAGAATACTCATTATTTTCAAGTGCACAAAGGACATACTACAGGATAGATGACATGTTAAGCAACACAAGTCTTAATAAAATGAGAAGGACTGAAATCATACCAGGCATCTTTTCCAACAACAGCATGAAATTAGATATTGATAACAGGGGAAAAAACTGAAGAAAATAAAAACATATGAGGCTAAATAGCTTGCAATTTAATAACCAATGGGTCAATGAAGACATTAAAGAGGAAATTTTTTAAAATTTGGAGAATGATGAAAATGGAAACTCAACAATGCAAAATCTTTGGGATGCAGCAAAAACAGGTCTAAGAGGGAAGTTTATAGCATTACAGGCCTACCTCAACATGAGAAAAATCTCAATCTAAAACTATACCTAAATTAATTACATCTAAATTCAACAGCTAATTTCTAAAGAATAGAAAAAGAACTAACAAAGCCAAAGTTAGTAGAAGGAAGGAAACAATAAAGATCAGAGCAGAAATAAATGAAACAAAGACTAAAAACATATAAATGATCAATGAAAATAAAGGCTGGTTATTTGAAAGGATAAATAAAATTGGTAAACCTTTAGCTAGACTCATCAAGAAAAAGAGAAAGAGGACTTAAACAAATAAAATCAGAATTGAAAGAGAAGTTACAACTGACACCAGAGAAATACAAACGATGATAAGAAATTACAATGAAAACTTTTATGTCAACAAATTAGACAACCTAGAACAAATGGATAAGTTCCTAGAAACATGCCTCCCAAGACCGAACCCGGGAAGAAAGAGAAAAGCTGAGCTGACGGCTTACTAGTAATGAAATTGAACTGGTAACCAAAAAATACCCAACGAACAAAATTCCAGGAACAGAGGGCTTCACAGGAGCATTCTAACAATCACGTAAAGAAGAGTCAATATCTCTCCTTCTCAAACTATTTCAAAAAATTGAAGAGGAAGGAAAGCTCCCAAATTCTTTCTACAAGGCCAGAATCACCTTGAAACCAAAACCAGAGAAAGACACTACAAAGAAAGAAAATTATACTCCTATATCCTTGGTGAACATAGATGCAAAAATCCTCAACAAAATATTAGCGAACTGAAATAAAACAGTAAAAGGATCATTCCCCACAATAAAGTGGCATTTATCCAGGGATACAAGGATGGTTCCATCCCTGCAAATCAATCAGTGTGATGCACCACATTAACAAAACAAAGGGTTAAAACCATATAATGATCAGTTGGTAGATGCAGAAAAAGGATTTGATAAAACTCAACATCCATCCACAATAAAAATGCTCTACAAAGTGGTTATAGGAGTACATACTTCAACATAACAGAGGCCATATACAACAAACCAGTACACATCTTACACAATGGCAAAAGCTGAAAGCTTTTCCTCTAAGATCAGGAACAAGACAAGGATGCTCACTTACCATTTGTATTCAGCATAGTACTGGAATTCCTAGCCATAGTCATTAGGCAAGAAAAGAAATGAAGGGCATCCAAATTGGTAAGGAAAAAGTAAAACTGCCACTCTTTGCAGATGACATGGTACTGTACATAAAAATACTCAAGACTCTACCAACAGACTACTAGAATTGATAAATGAGTTTTGCAAAGTAGCAGGATATAAAATCAATACACAGAAATCCATTGCATTGCTTTATACAAATAATGAACTAAAAGAAAGAGAAATTAAGAAAATAATCTCATTTACGACTGCATCAACAAGAATAAAATGCCTAGGAATAAATTTAACTAAGAAGATGAAAGACCTGTACAAGGTATACAACAGTGATGAAAGAATCGAAGCAGACACAAGTAAATGGAAAGGTCTCCCATGCTCATGGATAGGAAGGGTTAACATTGTTAAAATGACCATACTGCCCAAAGCAGCCCACAGATTGAGTGCAATCCCTATTAAAATACCAATGGCATTCTTCACTGAACTATAGCAATAATTCTAAAATTTGTATAGACCCACAAAAAATATATATATAAATAGGCCATATCATCTTGAGAAAGAAGAACAAGGCTGGGGGTATACAAACTATACCTTATTTTAAATTATACTACAAAGCTATAATAATCAAAACTGTATGATACTGGGCCAAGAAAAAATACATAGACAAATGGAACAGAATAGAGAGACCAGAAGTATACTCACACTTGTATGGTTAATTAACATATGACACAAGAGACAAGAATATGCAATTAGGAAAAGAGAGTCTCTTCAATAAATGGTGTTGGGAAAACTAGACAGCCACATACATGTAAGAGAATGAATTGGATCCCTGTCGAACACTATACACGAAAGTAAACTCAAAATGGAGATTAAAGCCCTAAGGTCTGAAACCATAAAACTCCTAGAAGAAAACATAGGCAGTAAACTCCTGAATCATCATTAGTAATTTCTTTGGTTCTTGATATGTCTCCCTGGGCAAGAGAAACAAAAGCAAAAATAAACAAGAGAGACTACATCAAACTGAAAAGCCTCTGCACAGCAAAGGAAACCATCAACAAGATGAAAAGGCAACCTGCTGTCTGGGAGAAGATATTTGCAAATGACATGTCTCATAAGGTGCTAGTATCCAAAATAGGTAAAGAACTCATATAACTCAAAACCAAAGACAAACAATTAAAAAACGGGCAGAGGACCTTAACAGACAGTTTTCCAAAGAAGACATACAGATGACCAACAGACACATGAAAAGGTGCTCACCATCACTAATCCTCAGGAAAATGCAAATCAAGGCCACAATAAGATATCACTTCTTATCTGCCAGAATGGCTAATATCAAAAGGATAAGAAATAATTAATGTTGGCATGGATGTAGAGAAAAGGGGACACTTGTATGCTGCTGGTGAGACTGTGAATTTATGCTGCTGCTATAGAAAGCAATACAGATGTTTCTCAAAAGACTAAAAATAGAAATCTCATGTGACCCAGCAATTCCACTTCTGGGAATTTACCTGAAGAAATCACACTCACTACTTTGAAAAGATATTTTCACTCGTATGTTTATTGCGGCATTGTTCATAGTAGCCAAGATATGGAAGCAACCTAAGTGTCCATTGATGGATAAAAGTGATGTGGTGCATATATACAATGAAATACTATTCAGCCATTAAAAAGAATGATATCTTGCCATTTGGGACATAGATGAACCCATATTTTATGTTAAGTGAAATAAGT